ATTTTATAAATAATTTATATGGAAATAATTATTATTATCAGAAAAAATCCATAATAATAATAATTTCTCTGTTAATATTTAAGTTGTAATTATTTTTGCTTGAATATTCAACTACTATTTTAAATAGCATTTTACCAGCGTTTTAATGTTTTTATTTTAAGCCGACAAAAATTAAGTCTGTTCACCCATACTATACTCAATATCTCAGCTTGTCGCTACCATTTATTTTAAATACAAAATAAAGACAACTAATAGCAGTGCTTAAATTGGGAAAATACTAAAAGGGAGATGCAAAACTGTAAAATAAAGTGCGTCAAGTGCATATCAGAATATTTAAATGTCTTATTTATTAAGATATAACTAAAAAAGATACACTTATGAAAATATTTTTAAAAAAAAAAGAGAGACTTCGTCCGTAGAGTTCATTTTCAATTTAAGCATTGGTTAATAGTTGCCTTCCTGTACGCTGCAAAAAAGAGGTCCTCGATTATTTACAAATACCATATACCCATAAAGCTTAAATTATTAAAATTGATCAATATTCATAGCTTGCAGATTTTTAAAATGTGTTTCCTAGAATCTCGTCGTAACATTTCCTATTATATCAATGTCGGTTCGAGTACATTTGACATCTGGGATTAGTCAAAATGCAGTTTCACGTTAGTTAATAGTCATATGCATCTGTTACCACGAATATGCAATTATTACTCTGATAAAATAATTTTTAAAATGCAAATTAAAAAATTTATTTTGTATATGAATCTTGATACTGAAACCTTTATTTTTATCATTTTTGTCTTTATATTTATTGTGTATAATACACAAAAAATCCTTTAAAAAATATAAGTAGGTACAAAATAAAACATATTTAAGAATCTTTTAGTCTTTTTTAATTTAATGACTGGCTGATTTCCTGTTCAATCATTTTTTATAGATATCATTGTATCAAGAATAGATAATTTTCCCCATATCCGATTTTCTAGAGATTGAGTCTTCTATTCGTTCGATCTGTTCTATATATTGTGATAAATAAAATCTCAACAGTTTGGTAGAATGACTGTTTGACATAACTCGCTGTTGAGTAACTTGGCAGTAGACATCCAGAGTCTCTTCAAGGTCACGGAGGTTGATGAAAGTTAAGCGAACAAAATACGAGATAATATATAATACAATATTTTAAAATATTGAGCCCGTTTGTATAATCCACAGTATGTACATCTACAATATCATATAACTTGTCTCAATTTTTATTTTTTTATCGGGTTACGCGAGAATATTGTGATTTTCTAATAACAATGTTTTCAGGTCTTTTATTGACTTAAGTATATACTCGAGTGATTTTACTGATTTTAGAAATATATATTGTTGCTACCTATAGATTTTAGTCTCTAGGTATACATATAATATTATACGATATGTACCCGCGAATTCATTCCGAAAAAAATAAACAAGTATAAAATATGGCGTTTTGTGTATTTCGTATTGAATGTACCGCAGTTTATGGCAAATTAATGTTGGTATAAAAATATGGGGTGACTAGTAACCATCCCTTCATCACCTTTTGTATACATACGAATTGTGTATTTAGTTGAATTATCAAATATATTTTCCAAATTAATTTCTTATTTTATAGATACATTTTAATTTTTGTGAATATGCTTAGTGGTTACAATATTAAAATATATAGGTACATAACGAAAAACTCGAAGAAAAAAATTGAATCACTAAAAGTCTAGCAATGGTTTAAAACCGATATTATTTTTGATTAGTAATAGTCATTAATATAATATGACTTATTAGATATTATGTACTATTATTATTGCATCTATGTTGCTATATGTTTATGTGTATAATTATTTAATTTTGATTTTTTGTACATTTAATTGTAAATTATGCACCTATGTAAATTTTATTTGACAATATTACTTAAGAACCACATATGAATATTGAATAATGAATATTAATTGTAGGTATTAAAGTATTGCAATCAAAAAGATTCATTTACCTTAGTTGGTACGCTATTCGTATCGTCCCAATGTTTCATCTCCTCACGAGATAGACCTACAAAGCGTTATAATGATTTATAATGATTAATTAAAATTCGGCGTAAATATCTTGTAGTGCATTTAAAAATATTTTTATATTTATTGTAAAGTAAATTTAAAGACATTATATAATGCAATGTATAATGATATAAGAATAGGTGCTAGAATAATAGGTAGGTAGGTTAATAGTAGGTTAATAGTAGGTTAGATACCTATATAATCTATATTATTTCTTTTTATTAACAAAAAAAAAAAAAAAACACTGTTGGATAATTATTTGAATGTTAAAATAAATAGTCTATATATACAAAATTTTTATATGAATAATTCATTATTATATTACATTTTTTTTTGGTATTCAATATGTAGAATAACTAGAGATTAAACATCAGTATGTTTTTTCTCCTCATACCCAAATAAAAAAAAAAATTAGCTATATTTTAAAATTTATGTTTTTTACACTTTTTTAACTGTTTTAATACAAACACATTGGTTGGTTTTCTACTAATTCTAAAACTGAATTTAAAGTTGATTTTTTAAAATTTATTATTCTATTATATAATACGCATAAATATAATTAGGAACATATTGATAAGAGGTATAAAAAAGGTATTTATATTGAGGATGATTTTCGTTATATACAGAATCATTCACTTACTCTGACAGTTCAAATTTAAAATATCTGTTACCGGTGTTAACCTGTTATATAATTAAAAATCCACTTTAGATGTGTAACATTGACGAGGAAAAAAATTATGAAAATACTTAATGGATATTGGATTAAATTTCTTTCTTCGCTGGAACTTAGATGTCACAAATATGTGTTTTCTTATTTTCTTTAAGCAATCCTTTAGCACTGCAACTTTTTTATTAATTATAGTGTACATTACCTACCCAATATATTAACTAAATATATATATTTATAATTATAGCATTAGTGTGTGTGTTTTAATAATTAATAAGTATAACTAACTTCTCTCTGAATAACTATAGAATAAAATTCTCAGGTACCTATTACAAATCATTAAAGTTTATACAACTTCAATACTATGTTTATGATATACATATTATTGTAATACTTTATTCGCGTATCGTGATTATAATTTTATTTATAAGTACATATACACATAGTATAATACATTAAGCGTATAAATAATATAGGTTGTATTGTTTTATGTTACTAGTTTTGAGTTAAAATATAAAAGTTTATTATTACAACTATTTACTTATTTAATATTTATTGTTTTACTGTTATCTTACTTATAATTATTTTCAATTATGTTTTATAAATTTAAATGATAATAATATTAATTAGATATATTTATATATACTGTATATAAGTACGTATTTAGGAGGGTAAGTATGTAGGCCATCTATTTTATGCACTATTATATTCATAATGTATCTGAAATAATTTGCATAAATGTTAAAACGTACAGCATATCTGATATTTTAAGAAGATAATCCTATAAAGTTGATTGAAAAAAATGTAAAAAAAATCTTAGTTTGTTAATTAAGCTTATTATTTAGTGCTGTTGTAAAGAATAAATTCGGTTATTATTTTATAGTTTATCAACACAACACAGTATAGGTACTATAGTATATTATAGTATATGTCGTATAATATGATAGCTTATACTTATTTAGGTATTGAATTGTGTGTTACAATTCAGAAACATGATATTTTCAAAGTCATGTTTTTTTTTACATTTATTTGAATATATACAATCTGTAATAGTAGTTACAATAAGCATATGAGCGGAAAAGTACAAGTTGACTGTGAAATCACGAGGAGAGTATAGCTATCCAGCAATAACACTCGACGTGATGTCGAAGTCATGTTGGTTCTTTTTGCCATAGTCGATGTAACCACACTAAATAAAATCTTTATTGGAGTGGGAAATAATATTATCTTACTAAATTAAAAAAAAAAAAATTCAAAAGTATTTAAACAAAATAAAGTATTTAAAATATCATAAAAATACTTCATGTTAAAGTATTTTAAAAGAATCCGATACTTAAAAAAAAGTAATTGAATATTTTTACTGGTAAATATATCACAACACTGCTGTCTAATAGACTACATTATTATCTACTTCTTATTAAGATTGAATTCAATTATTTTTATAATTGGTTTGAAATTATAAATATTGAATATAATGATGGACCTACTTACTGATGTTCGCTTAAAAATACTAATACTCATAAGTACCTAATAATAATTAAAACGACAAAAAAATCATGAAATTTTAATTCATCTGTTTGATTGGGACTTTTTATGGAACGTTACGATTCTTGAGGCAATTTTAGATGTTTCCCATCATCATCGACTGTTTTAAAATTTTTATGCTGATAATGTTTGACGATTGTTGGGATGGGATGCGTTGTATTATAAGTTTTATTTTGAGAACCGTACGCGTTACGATTAATGAGATATGTGATGCGATGCAGTGTCCGTATTAATTTTAGCTTTCGCGGCAATAGGTATGTAATGGCTGAATAATAGATATTTCGTCACCTCGGGCAAATTAAACGACAACTAAATATGTACAACAATAAACATAAATATAATCAAAATATAAAAATATATGAAATAAAAAAAAAAAAAAAAAACAGAAAAACCATCGGAACCCGTCACTGTTCGCAGTGCGAATCTAGGGTAATGTGACATCAGTTACGGCGGAGATCAATTTTATCGTGTGAAAGGATTACAACACGCCCACTTACCCCCACGCCGCGGTGCGATCACTGATTCACCGTTCACAATAAATTGCCGTTCTGCCGCCGCCGACGACCAGCCGTCTCGACGCATCGTCGTCGTCGTCTCCCCTCGCCCCCGCCGGTCGACGGCAGGCACGCGGGAACAGCACCACTGCACAACGCAACGTGTGTACGCCGTGTGCTGCACTCAGACGGTCCCCCTGGAAACGGCGCGCGCGTCCACGGCGGCAGAGCGGCAATATCAGCAGTCCGGACTAGCAATGCCGGTGGTTTGACGTCCGCGCCGCGCACTTTTCACCCGCTCTCCGCGCGTACTATGCTCTTCTTCTATTCTTCCTCCTTCACGTCTTTTCGCCCGTCTTTCATCCCGGCGGCCCGTTCGCGGTCCGACGACACCTCAACCGTGCGACATTTTTTTCCCAGTCGGACATAACCCTTTCCCTCCCCTCTAAATTCCCCTCGGACACCCGAACCCGTACCACTTTTGATCCTTCGACACAAAATACCTCATCAAAAGTGCGCTTCTCGTTTTTATCGTATTATTTTTCTACATTATCTTAAATAACAAACACACACATATTATATATTAAACCGCCGTTTATACAATTATTATTCAACCTTTTGTACGAAAAAATCTGATCAACTTAATTTATATAAATCGTTTTCAATATATTATATATTATACCATACATATTATATTATACCTATATACACATACACACCACCCTTAGTGCGGCGCGTATATTCAACCGGCGGCCATAGGAAATTGATGGGACCCGCTGTCGTGGATGGTACGACCGTTTCAATGAGAAATGGAATCATTAACAGAGGATCAGAACAGGCCCGCAGAACTTTTGTCTCCGTCCAGAGGAAGGAGGAAACAGGCGAAACCTCAGCGGAAAAATGGTAAGTTTTTTGACTTGTATAATTCTTTAGTCATAGGATTTTTCGCATTTCGTCGATCCTTCAATAGTTGATCAGGCAATGTGTTCCAAATAATTTTATGTAGATCACGGTAGATCTGTCGAAGATTTTTGGAGCCATTGTGTTTTTTAACCCTCTTTGACGCCGCGAGGGCGGTCACACGGTCGCCGCTGGCACGTGCTACTGTACTACCGGGCAACATGGCTGCCACCGCCACCACCCACGTGTGACGTCACCCTCTTACCCCCAAGGGTTCACCTGTTTTTTTTCTGTTCACCCTACTATATCATATAATATAACAAATGACATTTGCGATTTTAAGGGTGTTATATACATTTAGGATTGTAACGACAATGAGTGTTGCTGATTCATAACGGTTTATTTTTTTAAAGCTTGAAATTAGATCAGCATCCCCTATGGTATCCCCCTGGCTATGGTGCTTTTTAATTTTTTCATTATTATTTGAAGCGACACTAAAATAAAAACTAAACCGGTTTTTTAATTTAGCCACCTTATAAGTTATAACCACACATATATCATGATTACTGAATATAGTATTTTATTATACGTAGTAAGATTACAGTTGGTATATATTAATATTATAGTCTATATATTAAAATATACACTTATGCTTTGTAAACAATATTTACTGTGTGTGTATGTGCTTATATGTGAATAAAGTTGATAACTTTTTTTTAAATTTAATATTTTTTACTCTCTCATACTCGATTAATTAGATAATTTATCAAATTAAAACAGTAAGAATAATAAATAAATTCAAAAAACGTATTTTATACATTTTTTAAATTTTTTAAATAATTTTATTAAATTAAAATGAGTTAAAATAAAAATAGCTATATATTAACTCGACCAGTACAGATTTCTATCTGTATACATAAATATCACGTTGACTGCCATGCGGCCGCCGGCGTCCGCAAACTACTAGCATACAACAGTATTTTTACGGACGCCGGTGGTCGCACCTTTGTATTATTTATACGCCATATGACCGCGGGCTGCCATAAACACACTTATTTGTAAAGGGGAATATTTTTCGTGGCGTCAAAGTTATGAAGATAATGTTTAAATGATGGCGTAGAGGAGAAAATTTCACGTATAGTGATATATTATTCGTCGCAAACCGATTATTTTATATACACTTATTAATATACGTAAAATATCACTACAATAAGCATAAAAAAAAAATTCAATCACTTTTTTTATTCAAATAATATGTTTCCAACTTCAATTCTTAAATATAAACATAATACAAATTATAAATTTAATACAAAACATAAATATCGAGACGTATTTATAAATAATATATGTAAAAAATAATGAAAATCCTTAGCCTGTGTGATGTAGATTGAAACAACTTATACATGTGTAAGATTTACATGGTGCGCAGAATGTAGTGATCTTTTTTACTTCCTTCGATGCCTGTTTCGATCCAACTATTACCGTTCTACTTTGATAACAGTGGAAACATCTCTTTCTGATTTTTCTATTTCTACTACATTTTTCTGTTGTTTCTTGGAATATGTGTTTGCTGTTAACTCTTGCTTGTTGAACTTCTTGTGGTCCTTGATTGTCTAATCCAAGTATTGTATCAACTAATGTTTCACGAAATTGTGTTATCTTCATTTTTTTATCAGAATTAATTGTATTGTAAACAATTAAAGCATTTACCATAGCAGTTCCAAACAATATTTCTGTTGCCACCTTATGGTACCAACGTATAGACTTACGAACAGCTGTACTATAGCTAGACAGTTGATCGGATAGATCAATTCCCGCTTTTCCGGAGTTGTAGTCGACAATTATTTTAGGCTTAACTATCGATTCTTTTTTTTTTGTTCTTTTTTCCTGTGTCAATCATATCAATATTATGTTTGGTCGACAACATTGTTACATCCCTTTTATCACGCCATTTCGCAACAATAATACCATCTGAATTTTCCTTTCCGATTATTTCCCCGGGATTTAACTTTTTTTTTTGTTATTTCAGGTAATTTTACTCTATTTGATCGCAGAGTTCCAACTAGGTGTGTATCATTAGTTAAAAGTTCGTTTGCAAGTGTAATTGAAGTATAAAAATTATCCGTTACCATTGTACGTCCCATGTTTAAATATCTTCTACTTAGATCTAGAACAACTCTACAACCCAATCCCTTTCCATCCACTTGACTCTTTCCAGCATAAACTTGAACCTTATAAGTATAACCATTTGTTCCGCAAAGTTTAAACAATTTTACACCGTACTTATGGGCTTTTCCCGGTATATATTGTCTAAATAATAATCTGCCACGAAAAGGTACCATAGTCTCATCGACGGCCAATAACTCGTCTGGTTCCATTACATCTTGAAAACGATTTACAATTTTATCGATTATATTACGTATTTTATAAATACGATCACCTTCAGGGGCTTTTTTATTGTCTGAAAAATGCCAAAATCTTAGAAGTAATTCGAAGCGATTTCTAGACATCGTTTTTTGTGCCACATTGTTTTTATATCTAAGTTTGGTGCTCCAGTAACTACCTAAATTTGGCATTTGAACGAGTCCCATCCATATTAATAAACCAGAAAATAATTTAATTTCTATTGAATCTGTAGGAACCCATTTTGTAAACCTACTAGACTTGGAAATTCTATTATTTGATAAAAACTGTTCCGCATTTCTGTTCGTTTCAATAACAATAAGTTCAATTATGTCATCAGTAAAAAATAAATTAAAACAGTCCCAAACAGTAGCACTAGCTGATATATTAACTTTTAATCCCGGAAAACCATTAAAAACTAGCTGTTTTTGATTATTACCTGTTACATTGGACCAAATTTGAACACTAGGATTTAAAACCGGTAATATTGTGTCTTGTGAATGTTCGGTATCGCTGGTTTCACTTTGTTCATCTGAATCAGAAGTTATAATTGGGTTGTAGGTTTGGTCTTCATCTGTGTCATCAAAATCACTTAATGAACTTCCACTATCATCAGTATCTAATAATTGACGTACTGTATCGTCATTAACTTTAAGTCTCTTTGGACGTGACGCCATAATTAAAAATAAAATTACAATAAAAAATCACACAAAATTTTATTATATAGGACCGCCGGCGGTCATATGGCAACTGACTAATAATTATATTATAATGACAACGCCATGCGATCGCCGGCTACCATACACTTTAAATATCATATTCTTATGCAGATAGACATAACAAAGATAATAATATCGGAATTATTTTTTTTCGATTATTTGTTCTATAAATATCCCAATGTATAATTATGGAATAACATCGAAAATAGAACGTGGCTTTGTAAGAAAGATAGCGATGCGACCGCCGGCTGCCGCATGGCAGTCAACGTGATATAATATTATATATAATTAAATTTAATCGTTTCGGCATTATTAAAATTATATACATATGTGACATTATACAGTAGTCATACATAAACATTAAACAGAATATATCAACATAATTTTTTGTTTTATTTTTTACTCTAATAAGATAGTATGATATAATATGATAAGTAATACATAATATATAATATTCCGTGTTAAACGAATATATACATATATATTGGATCTTCGTTGTATGTTTTTATAGTTATTTGTATATAATGGTGTATTTCCTTTAATTATCTGTAAGTGTAGTTCATCGAGAGTTTAATTTTTCATCTATTTATCTATATTTTATACTATACGATTTATACTAATCTCAAAGTTAAAATATGTAACACAATAGCATACCTATAGCTTTTCTTATTCATTTTTATTTATTATTTATAAGTATATAATTGTAAGTATTTACGTCTTATTATATTTTTCTACAACTTTTTAGATGTTTTTTATGATGTTTAGTTCTATAAAATCACAATACTAATCAATTTATCTGGTTTGAGTTTTTATGTATGTTATATGGTATACGGATATACATATTAACGACATAATTGTAAATTTTAATTATTGGTATTAACATTTGAAATACTACGAAAACAATATTTTAAGGTCATAAGATATATGTTATATGATAGTAGCGTCGCGTATTAAATAGATAGGTATATATAATTATAATATAACTACAATTTACTATAAGTTATATGAGTTAAGAATTTTTAATGCAACTATAAAATATCTGATCACATTTTTTACCAGTAAATTTTTAAATACATTGTTTTTATATACATTTAACATGCCGTACAGAGATTATGCACGAGGACAGATTTATCTGTTTTATCTATCCCCGTAAATACACACGTCACTGCATCATTATTGATTGTTTAATCATAAACTGATCTGATTACATCTGTGAACTTATAATTTTAGAATAACAAAATGTTGTTCCATATATTTGTGATTTGTAGGCACTAATTATTAAAGTTATCATTTTTTATATTCAATAATTAATAATATTTAATTACTTATGTTAAATTTGTATTGAAGAATTATACAGTAAATATTTAAATATATGCTAAAAATCGTTTATTGTGTTAGATAATTAAAAAAAATTCAAAAATTCAAATGTAATAAAATATATTTTTTTGTTCAATATTAGGTAGGTACATATAATAAACATACAATATAGACACAAAGTTCATAATATTTACTTTAGAATAATATAATAATAATAATAATATTAACCTAATCGATTTAATTCTTCTTCTTATACGTATTGTTGACCATTCTTAATTAATAGTTATGAAGCATGATATTGAATATATGTATTCTTAATATTATTAGTAAATTTTTTTAAATTATTTATTGTATTCTATTAAAATCATTTATATTTATTCATCTTTACCCGTTTCAGTTTTAAAATATTTTTAAAAAGTTGATTAAAAATTCTACAATCATACAAAAATTGTTTTAATTTACTATTTAATTGTTATGAATAAGTATGTTTAAATGTTAAAATTTATAAATATTATAGTAAAATATTGCGTATACATAATATAATTAAAATAATTTAAACAATTA